GCCACAGAATTGTTACTCAGGGACAGACACAGAATTGTTTCTTGAGGGACACAGAATTGTTAGGGACACAGAATGTTACTTAGGGCCACAGAACCGTTACTTAGGGCCACAGAATTGTTACTCAGGGACAGACACAGAATTGTTACTGAGGGCCAGAGAACCGTTACTTAGGGCCACAGAATTGTTACTCAGGGACACAGAATTGTTACTGAGGGCCACAGAACCGTTACTTAGGGCCACAGAATTGTTACTCAGGGACAGACACAGAATTGTTTCTTGAGGGACACAGAATTGTTACTGAGGGCCACAGAACCGTTACTTAGGGCCACAGAAACGTTAATCAGGGACACAGAATTGTTACTGAGGGCCACAGAACCGTTACTTAGGGCCACAGAATTGTTACTCAGGGACACACAGAATTGTTACTGAGGGCCACAGAACCGTTACTTAGGGCCACAGAAACCGTTAATCAGGGACACAGAATTGTTACAGGGACACAGAATTGTTACTGAGGGCCACAGAACCGTTACTTAGGGCCACAGAAACGTTAATCAGGGACACAGAATTGTTACTGAGGGCCACAGAAACGTTACTTAGGGCCACAGAAACCGTTACTTAGGGCCACAGAAATTGTTACTTAGGGGCCACAGAATTGTTACTCAGGGACAGACACAGAATTGTTACTTGAGGGACACAGAATTGTTACTGAGGGCCACAGAACCGTTACTTAGGGCCACAGAATTGTTACTCAGGGACAGACACAGAATTGTTACTGAGGGCCACAGAACCGTTACTTAGGGCCACAGAATTGTTACTCAGGGACACAGAATTGTTACTGAGGGCCACAGAACTGTTACTTAGGGCCACAGAATTGTTACTCGGGACAGACACAGAATTGTTACTCAGGGACACACACAAATTGTTACTGAGGGCCACAGAACCGTTACTCAGGGACACAGAATTGTTACTCAGGGACACAGAATTGTTACTGAGGGCCACAGAACCGTTACTTAGGGCCACAGAATTGTTACTCAGGGACAGACACAGAATTGTTACTCAGGGACACAGAATTGTTACTCAGGGACACAGAATCGTTGAATTAAAGAGTATGTCAGACAACATGCAGAGGAGTGGCAGAGGAGGCAATGTTTTAGGAGGGAGCAGACGTGGCAGCAGAGGAAGGGGTCGAGGCAGCACTATTCGCAGCCAGAGGCCAGTGCTCCCGGTGTCATCCAGCGGTCGTGTCTCCACCGACAACCCTGCCGTCATCGATTGGTTGGCTCGGTCGTCTTCCTCTTCCCAGGTCACCTCTGACACCTACAGCCAACGGTCGGTGGGTACGTCAGACACAACCGTTAGTTGGCATGGCCCGGGAGCAAGCCCACTGAAATCACATGTCCTCTACCTGCCCCCCTGTCCTTTGCTGTTCCCTCACCAAGCGAAGTATCGCATGCTGTGGGCTCAGCCCCACTGTACAGTGAGGAAGAGCTAACAGAGGGCGGTCAGGAACGGGGGGAGACATCCGCCTTTTCAGCAGCCAGGCGAAGAAGTACTGGCGAGGAGAGTGGCTCGGTAGCCGGTCTAGAGACAGGTCTGTCTCCTGACCCAGACGCAGCCGAGGGGGCTAGTATTGAGGCGGAGACCCTACTTGATGATGAGGAGGTTGATCGCACTTGGCTGCCTCGTCGTCATCAGGCAATTTCTTCCGCATCATCAGGAGAAGAGGGTGCCAGCTTGGCAGCGAGCGAAACAGTCGGTGGGTTGCCCAGGAGGCAGCAGGGTCGCATCAGTGTCAGTGGAGCCAAACGTCCACGGAGTAGAGCACCAGCTCCACTGCAGCCTACCACCACGGCCAGTAGTGGTGCCGGTGCGCACGGAGGAAGTAGCAGTCAGCCAGTGAGGAGTAGCGGGGGCAAAGTTTCCTACTCGGTGGTGTGGCAATTTTTCGTCAAGCCGCCCGAGAAGTAAACGTAGCCGTATGTCGACTATGTGGCCAGAAATGCAAGCGTGGCCAGGGGGCCCATGTTGGGACTACAGCGTTGCGTCAGCATATGCAGCGTCACCATTCGGTGGCCTGGGAAAACCGTGATAAAGATACGGCGGTTCTGCCTGCCCCAGCCCCCGCTCCATCACCCGCTCCGTTACTTGCTCCGTCACCCGACGTCGTCAATCGCCCCTATATCAGCCAGTCAAGGCTCCAACACCTCTGCTGAGGGGAGTTGTCGCTCGTTGGCATCTTCCGCTCGTTCAGATGCTCCTTCTCCTGCTACTACTCCTCTTCTCGGATTCCGTCAACAGTCTTTCTTGGAATCCGTTTCCAAGAGACAACAGTTTGCGAGCACGCACCCGACGGTGCAAAAGCTGAACGTCCTCCTGTCCAAGTTGCTGGTGCTGCAGTCCCTCCCTTTCCAACTGGTGGACTCAGCACCTTTCCGAGAAATGATGGCTTGTGCCGCGCCGCGGTGGAGAGTGCCAAGCCGTCATTTCTTCGCCAAAAAGGCAGTGCCAGCCCTGCATTCACATGTAGAAGAGATGGTGGGCCAGTCTTTGAGCATGTCGGTCTCTGCCAAAGTGCACGGCAGCGCCGACGTGTGGAGCTGTAACTACGGTCAGGGACAGTACATGTCATTTACGGCCCACTGGGTGAACGTGGTGCCGGCACAGCCGCACCAGCAACTTGGACAGGTCACGACGCTTTTGCCTCCACCACGTTTGCACGTCCTTGGTCCAGCAAACATGTCCGCCTCTACCACCTCTTCTTCCGCCGTGTCCTCAGCCGCCACCCCCCCGTGCCAAGTCCCATTACCCGACCGGCATATCACATGTGCAGGGCGCAACGGTGTCACGCTGTGCTGCACCTGGTATGCCTTGGCGAACGTAGTCACACAGGGGAGGAACTTCTGAGTGTAATGAACAGAGAAATCGACAGATGGCTGTCTCCGCGCAAACTGAAAATCGGAACCATGTTGACCGACAACGGAAAGAACATGGTGTCTGCTCTGCGTCAAGGAAGGTTGTGCCATGCGCCATGCATGGCTCACGTGTTCAATCTGGTTGTCAAGCGGTTCCTAAAATCCACCATCCCACTGCAAGACATCCTTAAAATGTCACGTAAACTTTGCATGCATTTCAGCCATTCCTACACCCGCAAAGCACACCCTCCTTGAGCTGCAGCGGCAGAACGGAATTCCACAGCATCGCCTGATCTGCGACGTTGCAACAAGGTGGTGGAATTCAACCCTACACATGTTAGACCGCCTTTACGAGCAGCGAAAGGCCATCACCGATTTCCTGATGTTACAAGCGGATAAAGGTACTCCCCTGTGTAACTTCGATGTCAGCCATTGGCAGCTCATGCGTGACACCTGCCGCCGCTTGCTCAGGCCCTTTGAGGAGGCCACGCTATTCGTGAGTCGGCAGGACTATGGGATGAACGACGTCATTCCTCTGTTGCACGTCCTGGAACAAATGCTGTTAACAATGGCTGGTCAGGGTGCGGTAGACGTGGCGCACAGATCTCAACGCCACATGACCCCTGTGGGGGCAGGACAGGAAGAAGAGGAGGAGGTAGAGGAGGACATTTGTGCTCAGGAATTATTGAGTGAAATGGGTGGTTTTTTCCACTCAGCGGACAGGAGTGGAGGAGCAGGAGCATCTGGTAGAGGAGGAGGAGGAGGAGACAGAGGACCCAGACGCACCGTGGCAGTATGCTGTGGAGATGGAGGCAGGGAGTCCCTCGCATTCCTTGGCACAAATGGCCCATAGCATGCTCGGTTGCTTGCGTAGCGACAGCCAGCCGAATAATAACCATCAGACAGAGGGATGACTTTTGGCTGTCCACCTTGTTGGACCCTCGCTACCGTTCAAAATGGTGGCCTTTTTCACACCTGCTGAGAGGGAGGCCAAAATAACGTACTATAAAAACCACCTATGTAGTCAGTTGGTCTCTGCCTTTGTGCGCCAACGTCCATCCTCAGACACTGTGGGCCCTGTGCGCTCGCGTTCCGCTGCCATGGCAGCAGGGGAGGGGTGGGGGTGGTAGGAGCAGTGGCAGCTCCACCAGCAGCGGCTGCCTCAGTCTGCAGTCGATGATGAGTAGCTTTCTTCACCAGCGCAGTGAGGAAACTACTAACCAGCCGCAGCAGCAGCAGCAGCATCAGGTGGACCTGGAGCAGGACCTCAAACAACAGGCTTGGGCCTACTTGGACAGCACCCTGCCAACCGAGGTAGACAATCCCCTTGACTACTGGGCAACGAAACTTGACCTTTGGCCCCAACTAGCTGAATTTGCCCTTGAAAGGCTGTCATGCCCGGCCAGTAGCGTGGCATCGGAGCGCGTGTTTTAGTGCGGCAGGAGGTATTGTAACTCCGCGGAGGACACGACTGTCCACCCAAAGTGTGGAGAGACTCACGTTTTGTGAAAATGAATCAGGCGTGGATTAGTCTGGATTTCAAACCACCAGTTCCTGACACAACTGACTAAATCCGCCATGAATCATGCCACAAACATGTGCCACTTTCAGGTCTCCTCACACACTGCTGGTGTGTTCCATTTTTTGTCATAGGGTGCTGGCAGATTACGGGCCTCCCATTGCTGCTGTCTCCATCGCCACACACTCTGCCATGTGCCACATTCAGGTCTCTTCACACTGCTGGTGTGTTGAATTTTTTGACATAGGGTGCTGGCAGATTACGGGCCTCCCATAGCTGCTGCCAGGCCCCTAATCTGCCATGGGCCCCTATATACCGCCTCCTCATGCTGCTGCCAAGTCCAGAGTCTCTCATGGGTCCCTGTACGGCCTCCCATTGCTGCTGTCTCCATCGCCACACTCTGCCATGTGCCACTTTCAGGTCTCTTCACACACACTGCTGGTGTGTTGAATTTTTTGACATAGGGTGCTGGCAGATTACGGGCCTCCCATAGCTGCTGCCAGGCCCCTAATCTGCCATGGGCCCCTATATACCGCCTCCTCATGCTGCTGCCAAGTCCAGAGTCTCTCATGGGTCCCTGTACGGCCTCCCATTGCTGCTGTCTCCATCGCCACACTCTGCCATGTGCCACTTTCAGGTCTCTTCACACTGCTGGTGTGTTGAATTTTTTGACATAGGGTGCTGGCAGATTACGGGCCTCCCATAGCTGCTGCCAGGCCCCTAATCTGCCATGGGCCCCTGTACCCGCCTCCTCATGCTGCTGCCAGGTCCAGAGTCTCTCAGTCTCTCATGCCCATGTGCCACTTTCCGGTCTCCTCACACACACTGCTGGTGTTGTTTCAATTTTTTGACATAGGGTGCTGGCAGATTACGGGCCTCCCATAGCTGCTGCCAGGCCCCTAATCTGCCATGGGCCCCTATACCGCCTCCTCATGCTGCTGCCAAGTCCAGAGTCTCTCATGGGTCCCTGTACGGCCTCCCATTGCTGCTGTCTCCATCGCCACACTCTGCCATGTGCCACTTTCAGGTCTCCTTCACACTGCTGGTGTGTTTAATTTTTTGACATAGGGTGCTGGCAGATTACGGGCCTCCCATAGCTGCTGCCAGGCCCCTAATCTGCCATGGGCCCCTGTACCGCCTCCTCATGCTGCTGCCAGTCCAGAGTCTCTCATGGGTCCCTGTAGGCCTCCATTGCAGCTGTCTCCATCATGCCATGTGCCACTTTCAGGTCTCCTCACACACTGCTGGTGTGTTCAATTTTTTGACATAGGGTGCTGGCAGATTACGGGCCTCCCATAGCTGCTGCCAGGCCCCTAATCTGCCATGGGCCCCTATACCCGCCTCCTCATGCTGCTGCCAAGTCCAGAGTCTCTCATGGGTCCCTGTACGGCCTCCCATTGCTGCTGTCTCCATCGCCACACTCTGCCATGTGCCACATTCAGGTCTCTTCACACTGCTGGTGTGTTTGAATTTTTTTGACATAGGGTGCTGGCAGATTACGGGCCTCCCATAGCTGCTGCCAGGCCCCTAATCTGCCATGGGCCCCTGTACCGCCTCCTCATGCTGCTGCCAGGTCCACAGTCTCTCATGCCATGTGCCTCCCATTGCTTCTCCATCGCCACACTCTCCTCACACACTTTCTGTCTCTTCTGTGTGTGTTCATTTTTTGACATAGGGTGCTGGCAGATTACGGGCCTCCCATAGCTGCTGCCAGGCCCCTAATCTGCCATGGGCCCCTATACCGCCTCCTCATGCTGCTGCCAAGTCCAGAGTCTCTCATGGGTCCCTGTACGGCCTCCCATTGCTGCTGTCTCCATCGCCACACTCTGCCATGTGCCACATTCAGGTCTCTTCACACTGCTGGTGTGTTGAATTTTTTGACATAGGGTGCTGGCAGATTACGGGCCTCCCATAGCTGCTGCCAGGCCCCTAATCTGCCATGGGCCCCTATATACCGCCTCCTCATGCTGCTGCCAAGTCCAGAGTCTCTCATGGGTCCCTGTACGGCCTCCCATTGCTGCTGTCTCCATCGCCACACTCTGCCATGTGCCACATTCAGGTCTCTTCACACTGCTGGTGTGTTGAATTTTTGACATAGGGTGCTGGCAGATTACGGGCCTCCCATAGCTGCTGCCAGGCACGTAATCTGCCATGGGCCCCCGTACCGACTCCTCCCATGTGCTGTGACGTTGCAACAAGGTGGAATTCAACCCTACATATGTTAGACCGCCTTTACGAACAGCGAAAGGCCATCACAGATTTCCTGATGTTAAAAGCGGATAAAGGTACTCCCTGTGTAACTTAGATGTCAGCCATTGGCAGCTCATGCGTGACACCTGCGCTTGCTCATGCCCTTTGAGGAGGGCCACGCTATTCGTGAGTCGGCAGGACTGGCCTCCCATAGGTTGAACGCCAGGCCAAATCTGCATGGGCCCCCGTACCGCCTGGTCACGCTGCTGCTGGTCCACAGTGTGACCTGGGTCCCTGTACGGCTGTCCCATTGCTTCCACTCTGCCATGTGCCACTTTGAGGTCTCCTCACACTCCTGCTGGTTTTTTGAATTTTGTCATAGGTTGCTGGCAGATTACAGGCCTCCCATAGGTGCCGCCAGGCCCCAAATCGGCCATGGGCCCCCGTACCGCCTGGTCACGCTGCTGCTGAGCCCACAGTGTGACCTGGGTCCCTGTACGGCCTCCCATTGCTTCCACTCTGCCATGTGCCACTTTGAGGTCTCCTCACACTCCTGCAGTTTTCCATTTTGACATAGGTTGCTGGCAGATTACAGGCCTTCCCATAGGTGCCGCCAGGCCCCAAATCGGCCATGGGCCCCCGTACCGCCTGGTCACTCATGCTGCTGCTGAGCACAGTGTGACCTGGGTCCCTGTACGGCCTCCCATTGCTTCCACTCTGCCATGTGCCACTTTGAGGTCTCCTCACACTCCTGTGGTTTTCCATTTTGACATAGGTTGCTGGCAGATTACAGGCCTCCCATAGGTGCCGCCAGGCCCCAAATCGGCCATGGGCCCCCGTACCGCCTGGTCACGCTGCTGCTGGGTCCCACAGTGTGACCTGGGTCCCTGTACGGCCTCCCATTGCTCCCACTGCTGCCATGTGCCACTTTGAGGTCTCCTCACACTCCTGCTGGTTTTCCATTTTGACATAGGTTGCTGGCAGATTACAGGCCTCCCATAGGTGCCGCCCAGGCCCCAAATCGGCCATGGGCCCCCGTACCCCGCCTGGTCACGCTGCTGCTGCTGCCAAGTCCCACAGTGTGACCTGGGTCCCTGTACGGCCTCCCATTGCTGCTCCCACTCCACTCTGCCATGTGCCACTTTCAGGTCTCCTCCTCACACTGCTGTTGTGTTTTCCATTTTTTGACATAGGGTGCTGGCAGATTACGGGCCTCCCATAGCTGCTGCCAGGCCCCTAATCTGCCATGGGCCCCTATATACCCAGCCTCCTCATGCTGCTGCCAAGTCCAGAGTCTCTCATGAGTCCCTGTACGGCCTCCCATTGCTGCTGTTTCCCACCATCTCTGCCACACTCTGCCATGTGCCACTTTCAGGTCTCCTCACACACACTGCTGTTGTGTTGAATTTTTTGACATAGGGTGCTGGCAGATTACGGGCCTCCCATAGCTGCTGCCAGGCCCCTAATCTGCCATGGGCCCCTATATACCGCCTCCTCATGCTGCTGCTGCCAAGTCCAGAGTCTCTCATGGGTCCCTGTACGGCCTCCCATTGCTGCTGCCAGGAGGCAGCAGGGTCGCAGCAGTGTCAGTGGAGGCAAACGGCCATGGAGTAGAGCACCAGCTCCACTGCAGCCTACTACACCAACGCTCCAGTTAGTGGGCACCACTACGGCCAGTAGTGGTGCCGGTGTGCACGGAGGAAGTAGCAGTCAGCCAGTAAGGAGTAGCGGGGGCAAAGTTTACTACTCTCGGCGGTGTGCTGGCAATTTTTTCGTCAAGCCCGCCCGAGGAAGTAAACGTAGCCGTATGTCGACTATGTGGCCAGAAAGTCAAGCGTGGCCAGGGGGCCCATGTTGGGACTACCAGCGTTGCGTCAGCATATGCAGCGTCGCCATTCGGTGGCCTGGGAAAATCGTGATAAAGATACAGCGGTTCTGCCTCCCCAGCCCAGGGTTCCATTTTGTCATAGGGTGCTGGCAGATTACGGGCCTCCCATAGGTGCCGCCAGGCCCCAAATCGGCCATGGGCCCCCGTACCGCCTGGTCACGCTGCTGCTGAGCCCACAGTGTGACCTGGGTCCCTGTACGGCCTCCCATTGCTTCCACTCTGCCATGTGCCACTTTTCAGGTCTCCTCACACTCCTGTGGTTTTCCATTTTGACATAGGTTGCTGGCAGATTACAGGCCTTCCATAGGTGCCGCCAGGCCCCAAATCGGCCATGGGCCCCCGTACCGCCTGGTCACGCTGCTGCTGAGCCCACAGTGTGACCTGGGTCCCTGTACGGCCTCCCATTGCTTCCACTCTGCCATGTGCCACTTTGAGGTCTCCTCACACTCCTGTGGTTTTCCATTTTGACATAGGTTGCTGGCAGATTACAGGCCTTCCATAGGTGCCGCCAGGCCCCAAATCGGCCATGGGCCCCCGTACCGCCTGGTCACGCTGCTGCTGAGCCCCACAGTGTGACCTGGGTCCCTGTACGGCCTCCCATTGCTTCCACTCTGCCATGTGCCACTTTGAGGTCTCCTCACACTCCTGTGGTTTTCCATTTTGACATAGGTTGCTGGCAGATTACAGGCCTCCCATAGGTGCCGCCAGGCCCAAATCGGCCATGGGCCCCCGTACCGCCTGGTCACGCTGCTGCTGGTCCCACAGTGTGACCTGGGTCCCTGTACGGCCTCCCATTGCTCCCACTCTGCCATGTGCCACTTTGAGGTCTCCTCACACTCCTGCGGTTTTTCCATTTTGACATAGGTTGCTGGCAGATTACAGGCCTCCCATAGGTGCCGCCAGGCCCCAAATCGGCCATGGGCCCCCGTACCGCCTGGTCACGCTGCTGCTGAGCCCACAGTGTGACCTGGGTCCCTGTACGGCCTCCCATTGCTTCCACTCTGCCATGTGCCACTTTCAGGTCTCCTCACACACTGCTGTTGTGTTTTCCATTTTTTGACATAGGGTGCTGGCAGATTACGGGCCTCCCATAGCTGCTGCCAGGCCCCTAATCTGCCATGGGCCCCTATATACCACCTCCTCATGCTGCTGCCAAGTCCAGAGTCTCTCATGAGTCCCTGTACGGCCTCCCATTGCTGCTGTTTCCATCGCCACACTCTGCCATGTGCCACTTTCAGGTCTCCTCACACACTGCTGTTGTGTTGAATTTTTTGACATAGGGTGCTGGCAGATTACGGGCCTCCCATAGCTGCTGCCAGGCCCCTAATCTGCCATGGGCCCCTATATACCGCCTCCTCATGCTGCTGCCAAGTCCAGAGTCTCTCATGGGTCCCTGTACGGCCTCCCATTGCTGCTGCCCAGGCAGCAGGGTCGCAGCAGTGTCAGTGGAGGCAAACGGCCATGGAGTAGAGCACCAGCTCCACTGCAGCCTACCACCACGGCCAGTAGTGGTGCCGGTGTGCACGGAGGAAGTAGCAGTCAGCCAGTAAGGAGTAGCGGTGGCAAAGTTTACTACTCGGCGCGGTGTGGCAATTTTTCGTCAAGCCGCCCGAGGAAGTAAACGTAGCCGTATGACTATGGTGCCACTATGTGGCCAGAAAGTCAAGCGTGGCCAGGGGGCCCATGTTGGGACTACAGCGTTGCGTCAGCATATGCAGCGTCGCCATTCGGTGGCCTGGGAAAATTGATAAAGATACAGGTCTGCCTCACACCCCCCAGGGTTTCCATTTTGTCATAGGGTGCTGGCAGATTACGGGCCTCCCATAGGTGCCGCCAGGCCCCAAATCGGCCATGGGCCCCCGTACCGCCTGGTCACGCTGCTGCTGAGCCCACAGTGTGACCTGGGTCCCTGTACGGCCTCCCATTGCTTCCACTCTGCCATGTGCCACTTTCAGGTCTCCTCACACTCCTGTGGTTTTCCATTTTGACATAGGTTGCTGGCAGATTACAGGCCTTCCATAGGTGCCGCCAGGCCCCAAATCGGCCATGGGCCCCCGTACCGCCTGGTCACGCTGCTGCTGAGCCCACAGTGTGACCTGGGTCCCTGTACGGCCTCCCATTGCTTCCACTCTGCCATGTGCCACTTTCAGGTCTCCTCACACTCCTGTGGTTTTCCATTTTGACATAGGTTGCTGGCAGATTACAGGCCTTCCATAGGTGCCGCCAGGCCCCAAATCGGCCATGGGCCCCCGTACCGCCTGGTCACGCTGCTGCTGGTCCCACAGTGTGACCTGGGTCCCTGTACGGCCTCCCATTGCTTCCACTCTACCATGTGCCACTTTGAGGTCTCCTCACACTCCTGCGGTTTTCCATTTTGACATAGGTTGCTGGCAGATTACAGGCCTCCCATAGGTGCCGCCAGGCCCCAAATCGGCCATGGGCCCCCGTACCGCCTGGTCACGCTGCTGCTGAGCCCACAGTGTGACCTGGGTCCCTGTACCGCCTCCCATTGCTCCCACTCTGCCATGTGCCACTTTCAGGTCTCCTCACACTCCTGCTGGTTTCCATTTTGTCATAGGTTGCTGTATGGCCTCCCATTGCTGCTGCCTCCACCGCCACACTGTGGCTCCAAACACTGGTTTTGGCCCCGTGACTGGCCAAATGAGTGAAATGTGCGGTGATTCTAAGATCGACGGCACTCATCTGCATGTCATACTGACTGACAGTATTATTTCTCTTCCCCAGCAGACTCCAAGGGCATTTAAATTAAAGGTACAGTGTTCTGCACTAATATTAAGTCTCTCTGAAGCCTAGAAACACCCTTTTTTAAGTTAAATTCACAGCGAATATATTAGACTCGAATCGAATATTGTCCACGAAATTCGCCGAATCAGTCGAATCGAATTTTTGAATTCTTCGCTCATCTCTAAAGATAGGCAGTTAGTCTAGGAGAGCTGGACAGGGCCATAGAAAGGTCCTTAACCCATCAGCAGGACCGGTATCTGCTCCTTTGTGCAAAGAGGAACAGGATGGGTACTGCCAGAGCCCCACAAAATGACCTCCAGCAGGCCACTGGTGTGAATGTCTCTGACCAAACAATCAGAAACAGACTTTATGAAGGTGGTCTGAAGGCCCAACGTCTTCTAGTGGGCCCTGTGCTCACTCCCCAGCACCATAGAGCTCAATAGGCATTTGCCATTGAACCCCAGAATTGGCAGGTCCACCACTGGCGCCCTGTGCTTTTCACAGATGAGAGCAGGTTCCCCCTGAGCACATGTGATAGACACATGAAAGGGTCTGGAGAAGCCATGGAGAACGTTCTGCGCCTGTAACATGGTTCAGCATGAACGTTTTGGTGGTGGGTCAGGGATTTAACAGACCAACAAGGGTGGAAAATATGTTCATTATCAGGGTTTTATGACAATTTCAACTGAAACTCCCAATTATCACATTTCTGCCTATAACACAATTCTTGTGCATTCTATTATTCGTCTTTTCACTCTTTATTGTGTCCTTATGGAACCAACATTTTTTTTAAACTATATTAGGCACACTTCCCATTAGGCACATCATCTATCTATCTCTATCTATCTATCTATCTATCTATCTATCTATCTATCTATCTATCTTTCTATCGCTATATCTCAAATAAATTAATCTTTTTAATGTGTGTTCTAAGCTCTGACCCCGATGCTCATTGTGTTTGTATCGTTCTTCCTGCAGACAGTGAAGATTGCATAAAATGTCCTGATGAAGAATGGCCAAATGAGAAGAAGGATCGGTGTGTTCCAAGAGTGGTGGAATTTCTCTCCTATACTGATGACACCATTGTTGCCGTATTTTCAGCTGTCTCCATCCTCTGTTGCCTTCTGACTGGTTTAATATTGGGGATATTTATATATTACCGGGACACCCCCATTGTTAAAGCCAATAACCGGAACCTGAGCTATCTTCTCCTGGTCTCCATCATGCTGAGCTTCCTCTGTGTCTTCTTGTTCCTCGGCCATCCAGTAGATGTGACCTGCATGCTGCGTGTCACCTCTTTTGGTGTCATCTTCTCAGTTGCTGTTTCTTCTCTACTTGCCAAAAGTATCATGGTGTGTATTGCCTTTAAGGCCACCAAACCTGGGAGTCCCTGGAGGAAATGGATGGGAGCCAAACTGCCCAATTGTATCATTTGTGTCTTCTCACTGGTCCAAGTCATAATCTGTGTCACTTGGTTGTCTATTTCTCCCCCCTTCCAGGATCGAGACACTCACTCTTATCAGGGGAAGATCATCATTCAGTGTAATGAGGGTTCAGTTATCGGCTTCTACTCAGTCCTGGGATATATGGGGCTTCTGGCAGCTGTGAGCTTCATTATCGCTTTTATGGCCAGGACATTACCGGACAGTTTTAATGAGGCCAAGTACATTACCTTCAGCATGCTGGTGTTCTGCAGTGTCTGGATTGCCATGATCCCGGCCTATCTGAGCACCAGAGGGAAATACATGGTGGCTGTGGAGGGTCTTTGCTATAATGGCATCAAGTTCTGGACTTCTTGGCTGTATATTTTTCCCAAAATGTTACATAATTCTGTTCAGACCTGACCTGAATACAAAGACAGTTATCCGCTAATATGTGAGGAGCAACACTGGGCTACCTGTCGTTATGGCATTATCTCTATTAGTGTTCATTTTAGTATTTTGCTAGTGTATTGAGAATGAACATTGTTATATATAAACATTTAATACTTCTCTGGAACGAATTAAGATGGTGGACAGTGAGGGTGATTTTTGCACTGGACACCTTTGGTATCAGATACTTTGGGTTTGTTAGAAGCCTTGTCCCTTGCTGGGTGTAGTGGTTCCTCCCACTAGCCATTACATCACTACAGAACAATGTAGTCACTTAGTGAGGAGGAACCACAGTGACCAGAGATGGGAGAGTATCCCAAACATCCTAAAGTGTCAGATACCAGCGACACCCATCACTCTTCCAGAGAGGGAAGATTTCACTCACCACCTTCTAGAAAGATAAATATCATACATGTTCTTTCATAAGCGGATTGTAATGCAGTTTTGTTTGGTGTCAGGGTCACTTTATATTGTATGTAGATGTATTTGTCTATATTAATAAATACATTTTGCTTGGTTTATTTTAAAATAATTTTGAATGTTAGTTAAGTTGATGAGAGCGTGTTGTCAGTAAGTTCACATTTAAAGTGAAAGGTTTACTTCATCTTAAAGGACATTTTCTATTACGTACTAAATCTTTCTCCTTGTAGACATTACAAACTGCTGCCACAAGGGAGGATACGGCTTCCCCATACAAAGCTGCAGAGACAACTCTACACCAGACCTCGCCAGATCCTGATAGGAAAACGTCTAAAGTAAAAACAGATTCCAGGGGCGCATTGATCAATCAGAGGTTTTATTCTCAGAATCAGAATCACAACAACCAAGGAGCTTAATGTAGGACCCCTAAGGTGGTATGTCTCCAAGCTCTAAGACCTCCTGGTCAGACATGTCAAAGAAAAAGCTAAAAAAAGATGAAGAAGTAATCATTAGCATTTAACACATTTTCCTCACTAGATTCAAGTACCCTCTTGTCCATCAGAGCAGCACCATAGTTGTCCTGGGCAACCTCGGGATCCAATACACAAAGCTCCCTGGAGGTTTCTAGGGACAGCTCTGCGGCGGCCTCATATACTCTTTGTTCAACTGACACAGATGTATACACAGCAGTAATATCATACTCATCAGTAGGATCACATCAACAGATTCATGTTCAACTCTTTCCTCCCCACTACACAGGGCACTGCACTGAGGAAAGTCATTTTTCACACAGATGGTAGGTCTCCCAGTTGGGGTCACCCCCATAGCATTTTGGGCAATCACAGTCAGTCTCTCTCATGACTTTTCCATCAACAGTCTTACCCAAAAGTGTAACAGGTTTTGCCATCTTCCTTTGAGTACCTTGATGTTCTGCTGCACCTCTACTGGCCAACTCCCCCAGGTGGACAGAGGATGAAATTACTGCAGGAATCTCTCTCTCTGAACTGTTTCCCATCCCCCGTATAGCAGTAATACTACTACAGGGCGCCACGGGTGTGCAAAATTATTATTATTAATATACAGGATTTATATAGCACCAACAGTTTGCTCAGCGCTGTACAGTATAATGGGAGACAGTACACGAGACAGTACAGTAACAATACGATTCAACACGAGGGGTTCGAGGGCCCTGCTCCTTGGAGCTTACAATCTAGGAGGGAGGGGAGAGTGGTACAGGAGGAGATAGCTGTGGGAGATGGAGTGGTAGGAAGAGTGGAGGGGTTCAGTAATTAGCTGAGGCGAGGTAGGCTTCCCTGAAGAGATGGGTGTTCAGAGTGCACCTAAAGGTGAGGTGATATATATATATATATATACATACACACATACAGTACGTGATTCACGCTCCCGCGGTGATCATGGCCCAGGAAGAGCATGCGTGCCCCAGCCGAAACGCGGGTGCCGTAATTCAGTCCCTAAGGGATCAGTCATTAGATTTTGGCCAGTGATGTTCGGCCTGAATTGGATTATCGATCCATGGCCTATCAGGGATCTCCCTGTACCTGTGTTTACACATACACAGGTACAGGAAATGATGACATCATCTCTCTCTCGGGGCACATTCCGTCCCAGAGAGAGAAGAAACAAGACACAGTGAGTAAATCCGCACACTTGAACACAGTTAGAACACGCTCAGGTCACATTTAACCTCTTGCTCACCCCCCCCCCCCATTGGCCCCCAGTTAACCCCTTCACTGCCCTGTCATCGGTGTCATTAGTACAGTGTACAGAATTTGTGCTGTATCTGTATTAGTGCACTTGCCCTGTGTCTGTAATTTAACACATACACAGTACTGGATTAATGATGACATCTTCTCTCTCGGGGCACTTCAGATGGCGTTAAGCGTCAGTGAGTAAATCCGCAGACTTGAACACAGTTAGAAATTTGTGCTGATCACCTCTGTATCGGTGTCATTAGTACAGTGTACACTGGTGCTGATCACGTACTTGGCAGATGGCGTTAGCGTCAGTTAGCGCTCCTCCCAGATAGTGTCAGATTTCCCGCCACTACACACCAGTCATCACATCTAACCCTTTGATTGCCAGGAAGACGCTCATACACAATATACCTCCATTGCTAGTATAGTTTCTGAACGGACCAATATCTTCGATCAGATCAGCACTATACCAGCATTCACATTAGTATACTGTCCCCAAAAATGCAGCATTAGCGGGATCAGCCCCGGCACCTGCCAGCACCTGCGCTTTAGCCCCTATGCTTACCCCCCCCCCCCCCCAGCAAGTGCAGTGTCAGTAGACCACTGTCACTTGATACATTGCACACAAAACTGCAGTGTTCCAAGAATCAGGCCTGATCTCTGCTAGCACTTGCCGGTAAATTTTTTTTTGTAGTGGTTCAAGCAGTCCCTGACAGTCAGGCGCTCTTTTTCGCATGAGTCACACTAGGTACCTATAAATTTAGTGGCCATAATGTCCAACAAAACGTACTCTAGTGAAGAGGCCTACAGGATTCTGAGCATGTCAGGTGAGAGTGAAGGGGAAGACTTACTGACACAATCAGCCTCAGGATATGAACCTGTAGACAGCAGTGGTACCCTGACAGACAACTCAGACTATGGAGTAGAGATCCCTGCTAAGGACAGGTGTACCCACCCCATTCCCAGGTTGCTGAGGTGTTACAATTGCATGATGATTCTCATGTGCAGCAGAGTGCCAGCACTGGTGCATGTGCCTGATGAAGGG